TATCTTGTTAATCTTGTTAAATGTAAGAAATCATGTTAAAATGTTTTCTTTTTTTTTTATTTGAAAATCATCAGACTTTGCAGACTTTGATAATTGCCTTACGCTTTGGTGTTTTTATTGCCTTTTTTTCCCTGTCACATATTTTAGTAATCATTGAAGATTAAAAGCTTAAAAACCTCAAAATTCATCCTGTTAAAACTATTTTAAAATCAGACATTGCATGACCATGGAAATAGTACTTTTGATATTTTAGTGGGTGGTGTTAAATATCAAATTACACATTTTTTTTTTATTTTAAAGCAGCACTATGTAACTTTTGCTCACGGTTCCCCCATGTGGTTGATAAGCGCAATTGTCTGTTACCAGTGTCGTAAATAAATTCGAGACGAGGCACGACGTGCAAGCTATCGAGACCGGCAACATTACCTTACCTCTCGGCTACCTTACGGTTATAAATTACAGAACACAGCCTAATAACAACTAAGCTCAAAAGTACATAACAGTAAAAAAAAATGTACATATAAGACTTACAAATCCAGTAGCAGGAAGGCTAGGTCTCTGTCCGTTTTGCAACCCGTTGCCTCTTTCAGCTCGCGCCACCGAGTGTAAGCTGGGTGGCGAAACGACAGCCAATATCAGAAAACTATTCACTATTTAGCTTCATCTCACAAAACCCTCTGGTTTCTTTGCTGGCTCTGCCATGGCGTTGGTTTTGAGACTTGCATATTAGATTGTTTCTTCCTATAGTTAGCTGTTGGCTAACTCCACCCAGGCTACGAGTAAAATATGTGACATATGCCGTAAAGCAGGTCGCACTCTTCCGCTGGCAGGGGATGGGCGGGGCTATGTGTACCGACTCGAAAACTAAACTTACAGTGTGGTTGTAGCCGATAGGAGGCTGCTCAGATAGCAGCGGCAGTAGAATTTGTCTGGTTAAGAGTTGTTCTACCACTAAAATAATTTTAGAGACATTATTTTAAGGTCGAAAAACTACATAGTGCTGCTTTAAGTTCAGGCGTGGGCACTCATCTCATTTAATTACACAGCTCCGCATTCGATGTGACCTTCACTGGCATTATGTGCCACTGTAAAGGAAGAGAAACTGCTGTATGCATCTGTAGATGGAGGGAGAAATGAAGTGAATTATCCAGAAAAGATTGACTCTTCAAAACTAACTTTGTGCATCTCAGCAGTTTAAAGACCGGCGAAAGATAAATACAAGACCTTGAGCTAATAAGTGCATCGTCACTTTAATGGCCTTTAATGATGAATGTTTTATTATTTAATTGGTACTTATGGAACATTTATGGTGCAACTTGCATTGCAGTCGTGGTACACATACTGTATGTGGGTGGTCATGTGTTTAAATGCATTCATCTGTCTGAAGTTCTAGAAGTTTGTAGTTTTAGGTTCAGTAAGAGCTCTGTTTTCCCTGAGGAGGAGTTTTGAGATAGAAAGCTACAGTATGATTTATCGTACAGAGATGTCAAGCATATTTTGGTTCCTCATCACAAGGCCACACAGAAATACATGTATATCTCAGCATCATTTATGTGTGTTTGTGGTGTGTGTGCATTGAGGAAGTCTACAGAAAGTTGAACCCAAACAGATATTCAACAGATAAGAGTGTTAAAGCAAAACAGGCCTTTCCTCAGGCTGCTGTTCACCTCCGAAAACCTGAAACAAGATACTTTCTCACTAAACATGGGTTCTCCTTCGGCTTTCGAGAAATTATGTAAATTATTTTAATTTCCAGGCATGTCATGGGAAAAAATCTTAATTGGAAAAATAAAATAAAAGAAATTGCTGTTAATATTTTAAATTGATTGAAATTTATTTTTCTTTTATTGAATTTTTACATTTATATTTAGTTTTTTTTATCATTTTATTGTAAAATTATATTTAATTTTATTTTTATGGATTTTATAATAATGAATAAATCCATTCCTTTCACTATGCATTTCCAGGCCTAAATAAGTATCTAAATATAAATTTAGCTCTAAAATATTTTATTGGCTAAAGATTGTTTTTTTGACAGTGCTAATGTTTGTAAAATTATTTTTTAAAAGTCCAGTAATAATCAATGACTTAAAAATAATAATAAAATACAGTAGGGACCCTGAATTTGAACCCTTGTGCACAAAACAATATGGATTAATTTCTTTGAAATCATTCCCCATAATGACAAATAGGGGCTTGGCTCAGATAGCGGCCCTTCAGCACCAGAACAGCAGAGATGTTCATTTCTTCTGAGTGCTCTTGTGTTCTTTAATCTTCAGACCAGGATCAAACCTCTCTGGTCCTGAACCCGCACGGTCCCGCTAACAAACAGAGCTCAGATGAAGGTCATTTCCATTACCAGACCTCCAAACACGTCTTTGCCTTGTGTTTCCCCTCTCCAGCGCTCTGGATTCAGCGGATCGATTATAAAAGGCTTTGCGAGTAACTCCTGGGTTTTCTCCTGTTCAGATGTGTATTTCCCTGAGTAAACTTCGTCAGTGTGCTGGGCGTTTGTTTTTGTCATTGATCATCAAGCCCATAATTGTGTTTCTTCATGGTTGAAGCTGCAGTCCTGCTGAATGCTTTTTTAGTGAAAACTGCACTGAAATGTGGGGCTGAATTTTATTCCGCTGATTGCAGAGGGCCCTTCATTCGATTAATTTGACATATGTTCTTTAATTCTCAATTGTTCTTTAATTAATTACTATGTGCTGTCATCAGATAAAGTTGTGATGCTGTTTCTAAGATATTAAATGGATGCTAGGACTTTCAGGTTGTTGCTAAGATAGATGGATGCACAGACGGGCAGATAGACAGACAGACTGATGGATGGATGGACGGATGAGCAGATGGTTGGATGAAAAGGCAGAAAGATGGATGGATGAACAGACAAGATGGATGGATAGATGGGATGAATGGACGGGTGGATAGACAGAAAGACAGATGGGTGGATGAAAAGTCAGAAAGATGGATGGATGGATGAGCAGATGGTTGGATGAAAAGTCAGAAAGATGGGTGGATGGATGGATGGATGAACAGACAAGACGGATGGATGGATGGATGGATGGACGAGATAAATGGACTGGTGGCTAGACAGAAAGACGGATGGATAGACAGACAGAAAGACAGATGGATGAACGGATGGACGGATCTGTGTGTTTCACAGCACAGTGAAGTCTTTTATGTCAGAAGATCAGAGAGATCTGGATTCCTCTGATTTGAGATCTTTTATGTGTGTTTCAGATGTTTGTTGTGGATCCAGACTGCAGATTCAGTGTTTACAGATGCATTGTGGGGGATTGTGTGGTTCTGCTCAGGTTAGCAGATGCTGTGTCACAGTCCCAGATGGGACGTCCATGTTAAAGCTGTTTGGTTTCACTGAAGACAGACGCGTCAGAACTGATTGTCACTTCACTGTCTGATGGATGAGCTGCGCTGTCAGACACACAGATAGATCTGTTAGCATTGAGCTAAGAATATTAGATCTGCTCTGCAAAACATTCATATACACCAGGGTTCCTCAAATCTGGTCCTCAAACTCACCTCCCTGTGATTCTCTAGTGATCCTGAAGAGCTTGATGAGCTTGCTCAGGTGTTTGATTAGGGTTGGAGTTAACACACATTACGAAAATGAGAATATGAGAGTCGCATTGGACTAAAACTTACTGACTTGGCTCACACAGGGTAGAACAACTTTCCAAAAATAATTTTTGCACTTATTTGGGGTATTTTTCCCAACTTGTTACACTTGTGCTGTTCCCAGTCGAAAATGACCATGCAAAAAATAATTGCTTAAAATGTATTGTTACTATACTATATTATTACCCAATCTTGGATTCAATCTTTTTGTCAACTTGTTTTATTTCAGCTGGCACAGGTTTTGTATTGTTTTGTAACTGATTGATCATAGGCCTCAATGATCTGAGCTTATGCACTTTTTGAGTGAACATGTCCAATATTAATCATTAATATTAATGCAAAAATATTCTGGATAATTTTGGCTTTTTTCACTCAGAAACTCAGGTGCATGAGCTTAGATCAACCAGTTCCAAAAAGAAAAACAAAACCTGTGCCTTGAAAGAAAACAAACTGATAAAAAGACTGCATCCAAGAATTTGTAACATTATAGTATAATGAGAGATTTACGAGCAATTTTGAAAATGCCAGTCATTTTTGACTAGGAACAGCAAATTTGGTAAAGGATTTTCAGCACAGCGCAACGGTTATAAATTACAAAAGGGTTATAACTTAAGGGTTACAAAGTATTATTTGTTGTTGTTTTTTATTATTATTCTTATTTTTGAAGTCAAATGTAGCCCAGACATGTTCTTGAGCTGTGAATGATCAGTGTTGTTTGTTGTGGGGTTTGTGGGCATGCACAAACTCAGAGGGTGTTCAGGCTCCTTTCTGTCCTGTTTGTTTCTCGAGCAGCAAACAAACAAGCATATGAGCTCAAATTAAAAGGCTGAAGTTAAAAATGACCAAAACACCACAGCCAGAAAACTGTGAGGTCAGTGAGAATAACACTTTAATTTTGATCTCAAAACACTAAAGCCCCTTAAAAAATCGTGCTCTAGATTAGTTTAGGACACATCCCTTTCTGTATTTGAAAAACACTCCATGTTTCTGTGTCACTCCCTTGGGTCCAGATGGATGTTGTGCTTCTTGAAGACGTCCCTCTAATGGCTCAAGCAGCTTCTCTAAATGGATGCTGTGGCTCCGGCCGTGTGTCCTTTAATCTTGCTCAGACCGCAGAGAGCTGTTAGTCATGTGACCACTAGACGACCAGAACACAGTCTAATTAATGATCCGTGAGGGATCCAGTCAGATTCTGTGGCTGGAATTTTCAAAGCCTTTACTATCCTTATAATATTATTAGTATAATCATTATTTAGTAGTACTGTATGAAAATTTTGGATTATAAAACTAATAGTTCCAGTGCTATATTCTGATTGGATGAAATGTAAAATGCAGATTAATACACACCCATGATACACATTGAATATTAATGCATCAAGTTGCCAACCGTAAACAAAATACAGTTATGCTGTGGTCACATTATATCATAATTACTTTCATTATGAGATTCTTCTTAGTGCCGTTTTTTACTTAATTTTTGTATTATTTCATGTTATTTTTATTTTCTTTAATTTAATTTAATTTTATGTGCAATCAGTATCATTATTTAATGTATTATTAATCAATTTAAGTTGAATAATTTAGTTAATATATAATATATAAATGTATTAATAAATTTTGTCATTAATTTATTATTCATAATTAATAAACAATATTTAATATTTTTATATTAAATATTAATTTGTTATTTTATTGATTTATTTCATTTTATTTATTTGTACGTAGTAAATATTTTAGTATTGATTGAGTACTTATTTATATTATTATTTTATATTAGTTTTCCTATAGCAATAAATAATTTATTTTCCTCTATATGCTTTTATGAAAAATTTTCAAAATAAAGCACCCTGGATGCATCATAAACTCAAAATGGTTACTGTACTTTTTTGTGAAATCACACCTGCAAAGCACTTGCAGAACTTCCCCCAAAAACCTATAAACATGCATTATATGTGCCACTATTTAATATTGAGTTATAACAGCATGTAACATTCAATGAAAACTCAGAATGCGTGTTTGCATTTCTCTCTACTCTCTCAGCTCTGACTGCGGCCGCAGGACGGGCGAAGATGGAGGTGTGCAGCTTCCTGCTGGAGCGGGGGGCGCAGGTTCAGCAGGTGAACAGGAGAGGAGCGTGTGCCCTGTTCTGCGCGGTCCGACAGGGACACTGGCAGGTGCGAAGCTGCAAAACACCCGAACAACTCAAACATCTCCAGAAAAGATGTTTAATGCAGGAACGTCTCTCTTTCAGATCGCAGATCTGTTGCTGCAGCATGGGGCGGATGTGAATGTAAGCGACAAACAGGGCCGGACGCTGCTGATGGTGGCCGCATGTGAGGGGCATCTCAGCACGGCTGACTTCCTGTTGTCTAAAGGTGAGGGACGTGCGCAAATGCATCAGCACAATCTTTTGCAGTTGTTGCCATTTATAAAGCAGCAAAGAATAAAGAGTGAAACAAGTGTCAGGTTTCCAGCAAACATCCTCTGCTTTTCCCAGGTGCCTCTTTAGCGTCGCTGGATAAGGAAGGGTTAACGCCGCTCAGCTGGGCTTGTTTAAAAGGACACAAGAACGTTGTTCAGTTTTTGGTGGAGAAGGGTGCGGTTATCGACCACTCGGACAAGAATGGACGCACTCCGCTGGACCTGGCTGCTTTCTACGGGGACGCAGACATCGTGAGTGAATAACGACGGTCAAACAGGGACCTTACTGATGTGTGAAGTCACAGGACTGATGCACTGGATCGTGAGAGAGATTGGGGTTTTTTGGCAAATTTTTGCCGTATTATAGTCAGTAGCTTGATGCATTTGGATTGAATTAACAAACTGGATGCAGAATTACTGTATATGAGTTTAAGGCAAGTTATGTGATGTAGCAGAGGTTTTGTTCTGCTGTTTGGCAAACTTAGCATCTATTTTGATGCATATTATTTATTTATTTACTTTGTTAAACGTGAAATTTGTCTAATCAATTGAGGAATTGATTGTAGGAAACATAACAAATCGGGACATAAATAATGGCATAATTAGTCAAAATTATTTATTCACTACTCAGATGGCTATAAAAAGAGGGTGTTCAGGCTCCTTTCTGTCCTGTTTGTTTCTCGAGCAGCAAACAAACAAGCATATGAGCTCAAATTAAAAGGCTGGAGTTAAAAATGACCAAAACACCACAGCCAGAAAACTGTGAGGTCAGTGAGAATAACACTTTAATTTTGATCTCAAAACACTAAAGCCCCTTAAAAAATCGTGCTCTAGATTAGTTTAGGACGCATCCCTTTCTGTATTTATGCTTCACTCCATGTTTCTGTGTCACTCTCTTGTGTAAATGACATAAAGCAGGGGTTAATTCAATCCAAATGCATCAAGCTTCTGAAGATGCCAAAAATTTGCCAAAAAAAAAAACCCCATATTATTTATTTTCTTTTTACTTTGTTGAACGTGAAATTTGTCTAATCAATTGAGGAATTGATTGTAGGAAACATAAATCGGGACATAAATAAAGGTATAATTAGTCAAAATTATTTATTCACTACCATTCAAAAGTTTAGGGTCAAAGTTTTTTTTTTTTTTATTGTTTGTGAAAGAAGTCTGTTCTGCTCACCAAAGCTGCATTTATTTGCTCAAAATACACTGAAATTTTTGAAAAATTAATACAATTTAAAATAGCTGTTTTCTATGTGAATATATTGTAAAATGTAATTTATTGCTGCGATCGAATCTGTATTTTCAGCATCATTTCTCCAGTCTTCAGTGTCACATGATCCTTCAGAAATCAGTCTAATATGCTGATTTGCTGCTCAACAAACATTTCTGATTATTATCAGTGTTGAAAACAGTTTAATATTTTTGTGGAAACAGTGATGCATTTATTTTTTCAGGATTTTTTGATTAATAGAAAGTTAAAAAGATCAGCATTTACAGTATTTGAAATATCTCTTTTGTAACATTGTGTCTTTACGGTCACTTTTGATCAATTTAATTGCTGAATTTATTATAGCTTTATTGTTATATTTTTATTTTTATTATTTATGTTATTCTATTTGTATTATTATTATTATTACTATATAATTATTATATTGTTCTGAATTATAATTATTTTTTAACATAAAAAAAATTGGACCCCAAACTTTTGAACAGTAGTGTATTTTGTCATAAATACTTCCTGTCATTGTAATGTCAGCATCCTGGCCACGGATGATTTGAGGCGTGTGTGTTGTGTGTTTGCAGGTTCATTATCTGGTTGAGAAGGGGGCTGTGATCGAGCATGTGGACTACAGTGGCATGAGGCCGCTGGATCGAGCCATCGGCTGCAGAAACACCTCAGTGGTGCTGACCTTACTGAAGAAAGGAGCCAAACTCGGTGAGACCTGGATCATATGGATGAAAATGTTGCCTTTTGGCAATATTATCAATATTTGTGTATTTGCTGTGAAATGAAAAGTATGATGGGGTTTTTTCAATCAGAGATGATGTTGACTGAATAGTTACTGTAGCTTCAAAATGTTTTAATGCAAGAAGTAAAATACAGTGAAAAGAATGAAGAGTTTTGAATTAATTCACTGAAACAGAGCATGTGATATTCATTAGCCAATCACATCTTTCCTCCTGAAGCGCTTACATCACAGATCCTGCTGTGTGTGTGTGTGTGTGTGTGTGTGTGTTGCTGGTGCTCAGCCTTTCTCAGAACCAGCTGTTTCCACTGACTTGAGCTGAATTAACTGCACAAAAACAATCATACTGCATCATGGTCTTTGTATATGAATCTTACTTTCAGAACTTATAACAGCCAAAGTCATTTTATGCCATAACACTTCGATGAAACACATGAAAAGGTGATTTGTGATTAAAAAAAGTAATAAATTACGCATTCAATGTCGGCCTTGCTGATGACACAGAAACTGCACTTCACATATAGCAATTAAAATGCATATTCAACTAATCATCAAAACTAAAATGAAAGTGGCTGAAGTAGTTTCCTGCATAGCAAAAATAACAATTAAAAATTGTGTGCAACAGCTTTATTTACACCAGTTTTTTTTTTATTTACACCAGTCTGCTGAACCTCTTTGACGTAACATTTTATTTCAGCTAGTTGCAACATTTCTCATTTTCAGTTAGTTTCTTCTTGTGTTAAAATAAAAGTTGAAATAAAAATTTATAAAAACTAATTAAAAAAAGAAATATTACCAAAAATAAATACAAATTCAAAATATTTTTTAAAAACTAAAATATTATCTTAATGATGCAAAAATAACCCTGCTCTGATGACATACAGGTAAAAAAAATCATTTTAAATTTAAAGTTTAAATTTTATTTTATTTTTAAATTATTTTAATTTTCCCATACACAAACCGTGTGAGCGTGACAAAGCTAGGTCAGGCTCATCAATATCAAGCAGGGTTCACCAGACTAAGGTTCATGAGGGAACTGCAGGAGACTTAAATGAAATGAAAATGCTTTTCTTCAGCTCTGTGTTGGTGTAAAAGTGACGCACATGTGGCGGCTGCTGTGGACGAGTGATGCTGTATTTTCTCTTTGCATGTCTCTTTCTGCTCTGTTTCTCATTCTTCTCTCTTTTAACTGCTTTCACTAAAACCCTCGTCAGGCTACAGAACGTCACCTTATGATCGAACAGGTACACTCTTTAGGTAACTCTATTTCACGCCAATTCCATTCTGCTGCTCAGCTGTGTTTTCATGATCAGATTGATGTAACGCTCCACCTCTCTCTCTCTCTCTCTCTCTCTCAAGGTAACGCAGCCTGGGCGATGGCGACCTCTAAACCCGACATCCTCATCATCCTCCTGCAGAAGCTCATGGAGGAAGGCAACCTGCTGTATAAGGTCAGGACAGCTTGAAGTTTAGCCTAATTACACAAACATATTTGAAAGCCCAAGATTGAGATTCTTTAAGAGTATTCCAGAGATACATTTTGATATGTGATATTAATGACTGAATTCCTATTAAAATAAAAATGGGATTAACAGTGAAAAAAAAAATGCAAGAGGGTGAATGGAGTGAAAGAAATGCTCATTATAATTATAAATTATATTTTAGAATTTTATATTTAATAAAATATTTTAATTGTATTATTAAAAGTATATATCATATTATAATTATACATATAATTACTTTTTTTTATTATTATTATACATGTATGAATATAATTTATTC